CTCTTCTATAGAAGAGGTTCCACAAATCTACCGTGCCGTTTAGACCCGGTTCCAGCCCCCTTTCCCCCCCCCTCCGCTCCACGCTTGCCCCGCCCGCCACTCACTGATTGGCTGGTTCACTAAATGCCCCGCCCACCTCTAAGAGTCCTATCTAAACCTTAAAGTCTTAAAGCTGTCAAGTTACAAGACCCTCGCACTCCTAACCCTTTAGGAAAAAAAGAACCCCAGGGGTCTTCAAACTTGACAGCTTTAAGACTTTAAGGTTTAGATAGGACTCTTAGAGGTGGGCGGGGCAATTGGTGAGCCAGCCAATCAGTGAGTGGCGGGCGGGGCAAGCGTGGTGCGGAGGGGGGGGGAAAGGGAGCTGGAACCGGTTCTAAACGGCACGGTAGATTTGTGGAACCTCTTCTATAGAAGAGCTTAGAACTGGCAGGAACCCACCCCTGCTCCACACCCATTTGCACTACTATCACGTGATCACCACTAGCAACTTTCCCAGCTGGTTTCTGAGAAGCAAAGTCAAGAAGGGAATCTGGGTTTGCTCAATGACCTCAGGATGCACTTAGCAACTGCAGAGATTTGCTTAACAACCGTAGAAAAAAGTTGCAAAATCAGGCACGGGTTGCTTTAGGACCAGTTTGCTTAGCAATCTAAATTCTGGTCCCAATTGCGGTCAGAGGTCCAGGTTCCCGCACTATAAAAAAAGATGTCGAGACTCTAGAAAGAGTCCAACGGATCTGGCCCGTGCAGCTGTCCTGGAAACAGCAAGGGGTCGGCCCACATCGCTTTGGCCAGGCCCACCCAATCCGGGTCTGCAGGCGTGCGCCCGGGCCTCAAAAATGTGCCTGATTAGGACAGCATAGAGCCGGGGTGGGTGTTCTGACCGAGACTTCCCGAGAGCCTGAAGCAAACTCCTGGTCCTGACAAAAACCCCTTTTATTAATTGACTCTGAATTCTGCTCCTTCACATCCAGCAAAGTCTTTCAAGAGAGGATTTACAGTCACAGAAACCTTATCTGGCTTGGAGAGTTGACAGGCCGATCAGGGTGATTTCCCTACTGGAAAAAAAGGAAAGGAAAGGAAAGGAAAGGAAAAGTAACATTTAAAGCATCCCGGATCTTTTACTCACCAAAGTCCATTCTGTCCTTCTGGTTTCTCTGCAGCAGGTTGAGAAGCAAATCGGACAAGTAAGCTGATGTTTCCCTGGGGATGCTAAAGAGCAAAGCAAAAACAAAAATTTGTGTTCTGAGCCAGGCTTCCCCAGCAGCACGAAGGCGAATCCCCGTCCTGATACAAGCCTTTTATTTCATTTACAGTGAATTCCTTTCTAGCCAAGTCTTTCTTCTCCCACAGTCTTTCGAGACGGTTTCCAATTACCGACCTTTCTCAGGCTTGGAGAGCGGCCAGGCCGATATCTGCAGACGCCGGAATACTTGGCAAAAATGCAGGAATGAACTAAGTTGTCTCCTGCAAGCTCCACTCCCCTTTCGCTCCTCTTTTATTCCCCATGGGAGGAGCTATTCACCATCCATCTGTGGCCTTCCTCCCAAGTCGAACTAATGGTCTCCTGCAAACTCCACTCCCCTTTCGCTCCTCTTTTATTCCCTCTGGGAGGAGCTATTCACCATCCATCTGTGGCCTTCCTCCCAAGTCGAACTAATGGTCTCCTGCAAACTCCACTCCCCTTTCGCTCCTCTTTTATTCCCTCTGGGAGGAGCTATTCACCGTCCACCTGTGGCCTTCCTCCCAAGTCGAACTAATGGTCTCCTGCAAACTCCACTCCCCTTTCGCTCCTCTTTTATTCCCTCTGGGAAGGGCCATTCATC